AACCTCTTCTATAGAAGAGGTTAGAACTGGCAGGAACCCACCCCTGGAGCCTACCATATATTCTGTGTAGGGTCAGGATTACCAACCTCTGGGCTGTGACCCACTATCAGGCTGTGGCCTATTCAGAATTGGGCAGTGGGAGTGTCTGGACAGAGCACGCGTGCACAGCTCAACTTACACAAGCAGTGGGCCAGAAGGCAATTGTGCGCATGCGCACTGGCTCGCTACTCATATGCAAGTCAAACAGGGAGCATGCGTGTTAGCCTGCTACTTGCACAGCCCAGTTCCCGTCACCCCACAACCAGGCTGCCAAGCTCTTCTTCGCTTAAGTGCCTCGTGGTATCTAAACTTCTAATAAAAAATCTTTCCTGCTTTCTAAATATAGTTACTCCAAAAAAGAACTCAATTGCAAATTCTTGTGTTGCTTCTTCCTGCAAATTTTTATCTAGCTTTGTTCAAGCTTTACTTTTTATCTTGCCTTTGGTGTTATTAAAAACAGGTCTGACTGTTAGGAATATAATCTAACGGTTGGGTTGGCAATATATAAATCATGTAACAATGTTTGTGTGTTCTCCAACACAACTCTCACAACGCTTCTCTGAATGCACTCACTCTCCCAATGGGGAGCTTACCTAATTCCAAAAAAGAACTCAAGTTGCAAATTCTTGTGTTGCTTCTTCCTGCAAATTTTTATCTAGCTTTGTGGAAACTTTAGTTTTTATCTTGCCTTTGATGTTATTAAAAACAGGCCTGACCATTTGCCAAGAGCACCTTAAGACCCACATTTGGTGGAATCCAATTAGGTATTTATAACACTTATAGCACTACATTTGTTATCATAATAAGAGGTTTATTTTTACCCACTCATTACAGCATTTCCATCTTTAAAATCTGTTCCAGAAATGAACCAATGCTCAGGAGCAGGTTTAAGGGACACAATAAGCAACTGAATGTAAGGCCTGTTTGCAAAAACTAGATTTTAACACTAGTCAAAAATATGATTTTTTTTAGAATAAAGGCAGATAAAATTTTCAAGTTAAAAACAAAATCAAAAAAAGGAGGAAGAGAATGAACTCGGCAAGAAAACATTACTGGGGAAAAATAAACTGTGAAATATTACTCTGAGTGATTAGTAACTCCACAATTGAGTTATTAACATTTTCAGATACCCATGAACTGATTTTAAAAAAAAACATTATTGCTGGAGAAGCCATATAGAATTTTACAAAAATGACTGACAAAAAAAAGTGGAAATACAAATTATGAGATATTATATTTAGGCTACATACTTTTCAAACACATCCATGGAAAACAAAGGAAGTTAATAAATAAATAAAGATAGGATCATGGATTTTAGTAGGTAGTAGTACTTATCGTATTGTTACTCTATAAAGGAATCTGGTATTCCCAAAGTTTCCCAAACTATCAATGAGAGGACTTCAGGTTTTTCCAAACTAGGCACTCTAGACAGAGTGGCCACCAGGAAAACAGCAGTTCAGAAGAATTTTATTTTAAAATGAGGGTTGTGTTTTGTTGTAAAGCCTTAGACATATCTCCTACTATTTATCATTTTACTGCCTAAAGGGGCACTTCCATCTGACTACCATGCACAGTGCAAGTTTTCCAATGGTGGGCTAGATTGCAACTGAACCTCTTTTCTCACATTTCATCAAATCATCACAATTCTCAAAAACAGAAAAGAAGTCGATCTTTTATTTGCAGAGAGAACTCGGCAAAAAGTGTGTTCAGCATATTATTATTGTTGTTGCTGTTGTTGGTCAGTCAGTCCTAAATACAGGCTGAGCACCTTACAACATCTGATTGTGCAATGAAAACATTTTTTTCCTTTTAATGTCCCCGTAATCTCTTACATCAAGTGTTAAATGCAGAGTTCACAGCAGATACTTATTCATTGTGCCCAGAGGCAAATATCTGCCACTACGTAGGATTGAACTCACAGCCACCTGATCGTGAGGCAAGAGTTCTACCTCTAAGCCACAATGAAAACAATGAACAATGTTCAATGAAAACAATCAAAGCCATAAAACTAAAAACAACCAATTAATAAAAGTCTGAAAAAAACTCCACAAACACCATTAATCTCAGCTCTAGGAATAGACCAGGGGTGGGTTCCTGCCAGTTCTAACTTCTTCTATAGAAGAGGTTCCACAAATCTACAGTGCCATTTAGAACCGATTCCAGTTCCCTCCCACCCCCCCGTCCAGATATCATCAAGATGAAGAGCGAGAGGAGGAATTCTGGGAGTTGAAGTCCACAAGTCTTAAAGCTGTCAAGTTTGAAAACCCTGGGGTTTTTTTTCCTAAAGGGTTAGTGGTGCAAAGGTCTTCTAACTTGACAGCTTTAAGACTTGCACACTTCAATGCCAGAGTTTCCTAAGCCAACATTTTGGTTGCTAAGCAAGAGCATTGTTAAGTGAGTTTCACCACATTTTACAAGTTGGCACGCCCCCCCGGTCACATGGCTGGCAAGCCACTCCCACAAAGCAGGCCACACCTACAGAAGAGGTTCTAAAAAAATTTGAAACCCACCACTGGAATAGACTTATGGATTTCTGGAACCTCAGGGGAGTTGGTGCCATATGTATCTCTGGGGGATACTGTTCCAGAAGGTGAGGGTAGCAATCCCTCAAATATTTTGAATGAAATATTTTATACCTTTAGATTTTGGTCCACAGCTTTCTTCAGATTTTTCAGCAAATGATTATTTGGACCTCCTTCTCTCTCGTTGACATAGACAATTCTATCCAGATCAGGGAAATTTCGATTTAGGTCTATTCCCTGTGCATTACTTCGACCAACAAACCAATCTTTGAGCTCACCTGGCTGAAAAGAAGAAAATATTATGAAACAACCTGACGTAGGCTTAATAGAATCATGAAACAGACTCTTTGTCCCGCAGAAAACTCTCTTTATTTGGTTAATGTGAATTCCTAGCATTCACATCCAGAAACGTCCCAGCAATAAGTCTTCAAGATTTAATTGCAACAACAGATTTTATCAGTCCTTGGATAGTTGCCAGGCCCAGAGCTTCTAGTTGCATCCCTGTACAATAAAATACCTGGCAAAGAGTCTCTGTGAGGCACAAACTCAGATAGGCAAATCTTCACAATAATAAGCGAACTAATTGTTTCCTGCAACCCCCACTCCCCTTTTGCTCCCATTTATTGTCTATGGGAGGGGCCATTCAACATCTACTTGTGCTTTTACTCCTGAATCGTCCCTCGTTCCTTAATTGTTCTCTTCTCCTGACAGCTCTGTGCAGGCGCACATCAGGAACAGGCTCCAGCTGTTCTTCTGCCCCACTTATCTCTGACTCAGAAAGTAACTGATAAATGTTGGATAGCACTGGCCCCCTCTCTGCCTCCGATGCAGAGCACCCATCAGAACCTTCCCCAAACTCCAGGACTGGCCCAGGTTCCTCCCCAACCTCCTCACTGTCCGAGTCTGCCGCCAGCTCTGCTGTCCGCTGGTGGGCCACAACATTCATTATGAACTTAGGGTTACAAACTTAGCCGAGATGGCTAAAATATTGGCATATCTTAAAGATCACTCAAATGAGAGATATAAACGAGACTGGAAAAAATGGATTGACTATATACAAAATAAATACGGGACCAAGAAACTCCAGTTAGCCTATGCTTAAGATCAGAAATGATTTAAATTGTTTAAAGTTAGTTCAGCAAGAAGAAGCTAAGGTCAATGTAGAATGTCATTAATTTCTTTATTTCTTTTTTCTCAATAGATTTTAGACTGTGTTTGTTAAAAATCCATACCGTGTACGGGTTCTGGGAAGTCGGGGGGGGAAGGAGGAAGGGGGTAGGGGGGGTGGAGGGAGGGAGGGGCATACAAAAAAATTGTACTTCGATGTTTTAATGATTGACGAATGATGAAATATTTGTGTTTTAAAAGAAATAAAACCTTTGATATCAACATTCATTATGAACTGTCATGATGAATTTCGAGAAATGGCCCGCTTAGTTCAATCATGTGTGCTCAGGAGAAGTTCCAATGCATGGCATACTAGAAAGGTATGCCAGTTATTTTCAATCCCCATACTTGGTTCTTACTGATATACCAACTTTGAAGGCTGAATAATACAAACAAATTCAATACTCAGTTCTGCCATGCTTGGAGAAGACACTCTGAAATAAATGGGTTTTAAGTTAATAATGACTAACTGGCATCTCACTAATTTCAGTGGCTCTACTATATATGATCAAATGTAAATACCATCCTACACATCAACTATGCTTAAACATGGTGGGTAATTTTAATGTTTTTAATGTTTTTTACATTGTAAGCTAACCAGTGTCATTGGATACGAGATGGATGGCAAATAAATTCCAAATAAATAATAAAATAAGTAAGTTCAATATTCATGCTTAAATGTTTGTGCTTCTAAATAGCATAATTTATTAACACTAACACACCTACTGTGGGTAGACTGAAACTAACCTGAAAAAAACACATGAAGAAAATACAGCACGTGTTTTAAATTTATAGCATTCATATACAATTATTGTTGTCTTTATTTGGCTGCCTTCAAGCCACTGTTGACTTCTGGCAACTGCCTTGCTAGTCCCTTCAATTTTCTTAGAGAGATTTCAGAAGTCATTTGTATTGCCTACTTTCTATGAGAGGGAGGGAGGGTGATAGAGAGGGAGAGAGAGAGAACTCAGTTTCCCAGTTTATAGCCTGGTGTCTTAATTGCTACACTGGATTGACTGATCCTATAAAATTAGAGTGCCCGAAATTCAGAAATAATGATTCAGCTCAAGGCACATAAAACAATCAAGTATCAGTTGATCAATTCAAACAATATTGAGCTCCAAAATGAAAACCTCAGAGCAAATACAAAAATAATTATTTGGGGGCAACAGCTATTTAAATGTGTAAATTTATTCATAACCACCTGGGGGAGCTGTGGTCCTGAACATTCCTAATCAACATGGTAAATTTTGCTTTTGTATAGGAAAGGAATACTGAGATTCATTAATATAAAGTGATTTTAGATTAATGTGGACTTCTAGCATAATGTATTTGGAACAGAAAGAGTGCTGGCTAGTATACAAGCATTCCAATGGCTACATTACATATAAGAATGCCAAGGATCACACAGGGAGTGGGGAAGATCAAAAGCTTAAGATGGATTACAAATGAATTACAATCATGTAATTACAATGTGTGTGTGTGTGTGTGTGTGTGTATACATATATGTATATGTGTTGTGGCCAAGCAGGAGCTGTTGGAGCTGCCGACAGACTCCAACAGCGAGGGGCCCTGTGAGTCAGCCCTGGAAGATGTGGAGGACCCTGGACAGGGTTCAGACTCTGAGCAGGGACCAGAGAGGCTG